TACTAGTACGTAGTAGTAAGTAGTAGTATTAGGTAGTGTACGTGACGTAGTATAGTAGAGTAGAGAGAGTGAGGGAGGAGNGAGGGGGGGGGGGGGGGCAAGGCCTCATGTGCATAAGATGCAAGTTTTCCTCTTAGAGAGAAAAGAGCTTCATATAGAGAGAAACATTGTGATAATACCTTTGTTTAGACTCTTGAAGATTGAGAGACTTATTTCTTATAGGGAAGAACCTCTCCTTGAGATCATATGCATAAAATGCAAGTTTTCCTTTTAAAGAGAAAAAAGCTTCTTATGGATAGAAACATTGTGATAGTATCTTTTTTTAGACTTCTGAAGATTGAGATGCTCATTTCTTATAGGGAAGCAGTTCCCTTTAATATTTTAGATCATTTCCTCTTTTAGTTAGAGAGAAAGTCGGTTTCTCATTGCTCTAGCGTTTCTTATAGAGAAACTGTTCCGATTGAGATTTTGGATGGTTTTTCTTTTTAGTTAGTGAGAAAATCAATTTCTCGTTGCTCTCATATCTCTATCTGGTATTATTGGTAATGTTTGTCAAAAGTAAAGAGAATGAGGGGATAGTAGTTTAAAAGGGTTTGCTCAAAATTTTAATGTAACTTTCATTGGTGTAGTGGATTTCAGTTAGCTACACCCGTGGATGTAGCCCTCTTGGATGAATCATGTTAATATTTGTGTTCTTGCGTATGTGTTTTGTATTTTAGTTTTTGTACTTCATTTGCCAAAAAATAAACCCATCGGGTTTAGAGCTTACGTGCACAACACTGAACCCACATTCTCTCTATGTAATAAGACCCTACACAAAATTGACTAAATTGGTGTAGAGGATAAACACCTAAGATTTGGGAAAAATAATAAGAAAGAAAGTAATGCAGAAAAATAAAAGTAAAGAGATAATGATTTATGTAGTTCGACAAGTTGCCTACGTCCATAAATGCTAAAGTTCTCTTCTACTAATAAGAATAATAGCACACAACCATGGAGAATTCAATGGACTATAAGTTCTCTATTAATCCCTTAAACATGGTCTCTCACTCTAGAACACCCACCCAAAAGACTATGGAACTAACCCTTTCTCTCTTGCAGTCTATTTTTCTTTTCTCTACTAGACTTATATCAAGAGAAAAACCATATGGAGACCCACGTTACCCATATTTTTTTCTTCTCCTATTCTCTCTAAAAATTAGATAATTTTTCTAAATCAATGGGATTCAGTTTCCCACAAAATATGACTGTTATTTGGCATGAAAACTAGATCACCTAAAGGGCTTGTGCTAAGATATTATCTCCCCTACGAAATTGTAGATGATATTGAGTTAAAGGAACCACGTATGCCCTTTCTAAAGTATGGTTTCAAATGGGTGCGGTTTGTATAGAGCCTAGGCTCTAAACAATCAAATTGGAGCCTACCTTTAAATAGTGTCGAGAAATGTGGTTTTGATATTGAAAAACTTTGTGATAGCCTTAAAATATATTTTATATTTATTTATAAAGTTTAAAACTTCAAAAATAATGTAGATCGATTGATCTATGAAACTTGAAAATCTTGAAAATTGACAGTCCAAAAATGCAATACAAAATAAACTATTTCCAAAACTTGAAATCCATTTTTTTCTCATGTTTATGCATCTTGATGTCGAAATGATTAATTTGAAGATATTTGAGAATCAAAACAACCTCTTATAGTTAAATTTTTGATGTAGGCTCAAATTTAATTGGTTAGCGCCTCAACACTATCTAAACTTTTCCTGTTAAAAATTGACTGATACAGTTTGGATACGATATTTGTGGTCTGAACCTCCACCCACCAAATGATCCGGAGCAGCTTTTCCGAATCCAAATCATAGGGAGTAGAACCCTGCTAACATGCATTTAATAAGTTGGCCATTTCGAACGCTAACAATTTGCCACCATACAACTGGACCTTTGTGACAGCCGTATAATAATGCCGGAGGGTTCCACCAAAACTAAATCAATTTTCTTAAAAGATTTTCTACTCGTATGTACACTATCCATTTACTCCCTCAAGTAAAACACATACTAGGATATTATTTGATTCTCAAATTTTGGGATGTAATATATTAATCTTAATAAAAATAAGGACTCGGTTAGCATACAGCCAAGCCCGCACATATAGAAACGCAGGCTTGGCAATAAATATATTTTTTAAACATAATTTATTTCTAATTTTTAAAGAATATATAATCTTTAACATGAAGATCATGAATATAAATAAATAAATAAATTTGAAAAAATAGAAATAATAATTATAATAAAAAAACATTTGGACCACCCTTAGTAACAATTGTTTTTAGATGGACCACTTATTTGCATCCATCTTTAAGATGGGTGCTTTTTACCTCTCGATTGCATATTGTCCAAATGTGGTCCAGCCTTTATGAAACAATTGTTATAAACATAAAATTCAAAATATACTTAAAAAGTACAAATGCCTTCAGGATTCAAAAGAGGCCGTCCAATTTTTGAAGGGCTAGATCTAACTGTCACAAAACTCAAAATTAAAAAACTTTTTTTCTTTTGAAAACAATCATCTTGTAATCCCAATGTGATTCCCAAAATTTTAGAAAAAAATCTTTCTAATTAGTTTTTTTAGTGAAGGACTAGGTGCACAGTATACTTCTGCAGGAGCATAATATATGTGCTCATCATTTTTAGTTTTAGTTTCCAAGAAATGCTGCTTATCTAACATGATAGATGGGCTGTAAAATCCCACACCGAACAACATAACGGAATCAATGGTGAGCTCACGTGACATTAAAAACTTAATAACAAATCAGGCTACAGAGAGAGAACAAAAACAAGAGCAGTTGGAAAGGAAGGGGAGAGGGAGAAGGTGGCAGGTGTGATGAGCTAAAACAAAACAAGAAGAGGAGTTGGGAAGTCGTAATTCTAAAACAATTACATTCAACAGCAACGTCTATGTATGGTTTGGTAGCAAATACATTTAGGAGCATCATTCTTCTCACTATAAATATCCACTAACCTATCCATCAACTGCATCAAATCATCTCTCTCTCTCTCTCGTGGTTAATCGTTGCACCTAAATAAAATAAGCATGGGTTAGAGTAAAAGCAACTCCAAAGAATTTGCTTTGCTTTGCTTTGCTTTGTTATGTTGCATTGGTAGCAATGGCATGTGCAGGTGCAGCAGATACCAATTCTTCTTCAGCTGGAGAGTTCAATGTCATGCAATATGGTGCCATTGCTGATGGCGCCACGGACAACAGCGAGGTAAACGTTAAAGAGCCTTACATTACTTAATTTATAGTGCACAAGAAATTAGTAAAATTAATTAATGACTTGTTATAAAAAAGTGAAACTTGAATGTAAAATATGATATTATTTTAAAATTTTAATAATAAAATAATACATTTGTTTTGTAAGTTTTTATCCAAACGAAACAATCATTTTGTTTTTTTCCCAATTATTTATTAAAGTTTCTTGTTCTTCCCACTATAATTGTAATACCGAATAAACCCTCGAGCCTAGGGAAAGTCCATGGACCATATCGGGGTGCCAACGGTCTACCCTCCAACCCTAAACTAAAAGAAAAGGACCTCCTTACCTTTTTCATTGTCCATATTGCAACGTTATTTTTTTTCCTAATAACCCAATCATGCAAATGGAGTTTGGGGTGCTATGTTTAAACTATCGGTGAGGTTCATGGATGAGACCAAACCACCTAAATGGAAATTGAGATGCTACATTTAACCTGCTTGTGAGGTATGAGAGAGAGAGAAAGAGAGGGGAGGAGGAGGAAGGGATACATGGGTGGAGTTTTTCTAGGGATTGGAGGAAGGGTCATTAGGAAAACAAAAAAAAAAGATAAATGTTATCCTATAGACTGAAAAATGTAGAGAAGCTTAAACATCGTTTCTTTTAACGTGAAGGGGTCCATAGCCTCTTCATGGACCTTGAGATTTATTTGGGATTATAATTACAAGATTGAGGTAGATGTATTTTTCCCTTCTTTTTTTCATTTTGCATTACAATGGCCATTAGTTTGTATAATTGAAATGGACCTCATCCATTGCAGCAACATAGCCATGTTACATTTTGCAAACCTCAAGTTAGTTGTCTTACAGTGGTTTGTGAAAGTTTTGTAGGCTTTTGATGCGGCTTGGAAGGCAGCATGCGAGTGGAAAGGGCCGTCACGCCTTGTGATCCCTGAGGGAACATTCCTCGTTGGTCCAGTCCTTTTCAAGGGTCCGTGCCCAAGTGCCTCTCCCATGGTCGTACAAGTGAAGGGAAAAGTGAAGGCCTCCACAGAGATGAGCAAATACCCTTCCGATGACTGGATCGTGTTCCAGTATGTAGATGGCCTCGTGGTAACTGGGGGCGGGACATTTGATGGCCAGGGAGCATCCGCATGGAGCCTCAACGAGTGTCCTAAGAAGGCCCATTGCAAGCTCCTCCCAACGGTACAAATGGTCTGCCTCCTTCAATCTATTGTTATTTATAAAATTGTTCTAGGTTTGAAGATCGAGGATCCTAGCTATATAACATTGTTTGATCCAGTCTCTAGCTTATTTAAAGGGAATTCGATGTTGCAACCTTGTAGTTGCAGGTACAACATGGTTTGATACACAGAAAAACAATTGAGTGGAAGTTGTAAATTTATTCCCACAATGGAAGTATTGCTTCTCTAGCTAAAAAAAATAAAAGACCAACATTTTCTTTTTGAATTGCAAGCTAGTAATTTTTTTTTAATCGTCAAGCTTATATTTATTGAGAATTTTGAATGTTTCTCAAGGTAATTGAAATTATGCAGTCATTAAAATTCAGTTCCATTACAAATGGGGAGATAAGGGGCATAAGTTCAGTGGATAGCAAGCTCTTTCACATCCTATTGTTTCGCTGCAAAAACATGAAAGTCCAGTCCATCGATATCTCAGCACCAGGTGACAGCCCCAACACTGATGGAATCCATATCAGCTCTTCATCTAATATCTCGATATCTCAAACTCGCATTGGAACTGGTGACGATTGCATCTCCATTGGTCCTGGCACCACCCAAGTAACCATGAGCAATGTGTTTTGTGGGCCAGGACATGGCATTAGGTGAACTATGGCATTTTGTTCTTAATATTTTTCTTCCTAGGATTTCATAGGTTTACAAAATAATTTGAGCCTTACAAAATGAAAACTAAATTGAGCCCTGTTATAATTCAGTGTTGGAAGCTTGGGCAAGTTCCCCAAGGAGGAGGATGTGCAAGGGATACATGTGGAGAATTGTACCATCTCAGATACCACCAATGGTTTGAGGATCAAGACTTGGGCAGACTCAGCCAGCAGCTCTGCCTCCGGTTTCGCGTATGAAGATATTGTGATGAACAATGTGGCCAACCCCATCATCATAGATCAACAATATTGCCCATACTCTTCTTGCCCACAGAAGGTACATTAAACAGTACCATTTCTTCCTTCAAGACACAAGCACACTTGCATTCAGAAAGAGAGAGTGTGTCATCTATGGAGTTAAATACATTGAGATACACTGAAGATCTGATTTTCAACACACATTCTCTTTGCGTTTTTGCAGGGTCCTTCTCGACTTAAGATCAGTGATATAAGTTTCAAGAACATTAGAGGAACCACTTCTTCAAAAGGTGCAGTGAATCTCTTGTGCAGTGAGGCTTTCCCATGCCAAAATGTCAAGCTCGATGATATAAAATTGGAGTACAACAAACAGGGGGAAACTTCGACCGCCTCATGTACCAATGTGAAGGGGGTCTCTGCTGGAGTACAAATGCCACCAACTTGCCTCTAGAATCCATCTTCTCTCTCTTTCATCATTGGTGTTTAAGATGCTGCATTGACTTCCTCAGCTTGATGGCTGCCCTTACACGGGGCAGTGGCCTGTACACATGATGACATGTATGATCAAAATGCAGTGAAAAATTGTTTCTGGCTCCTGCTTAGATTCTTGAAAATGAAATTATATATAATGTGAATTTACAAAATGTAATATACCTTGTTTCTATGAGATGAACTGAGTTTCTTTGTTTTCACCAAAATCAACAGATGCTTTTGAAATGCTCTTTTACTCGTCCAAAATTCTCAACCAAATTGGATGGGGCGATACTCAAACACGGTTCCCTGATAATAGAGGAAGCAGCAAGAGATGGATATTGGTAAACCAGCAGGGCCACAAGATCTTAGCAAATTCTCAGTAGGCCAAGGGTTAAAAATCAACGAATTTCATTTCATTAGGAAATTTTTGGAATCAGTGACTATTCAGACTTTATAAAACCACAAGGAAATGGAGCATAACCAATATCATATTGTTCACTAAATGAGCGAATTAGAACGCCATACAAAACCATAAAACTGCTCTAATCCTAGAGGCAACAAGATCATTTTTAGTATTGGTATACACAGTTGCACTCCTAAATCAAATGGTTGCCATAATATATGAAAAGTAGGCCATGGTACAGGTTACCAACTTCAACTGTTCACTTAGGTCATAAAAATACACATGCCAATGAGATTGAAAATTTTCTTTTTTAATATTGGCGTGTGACCTCGGGATTGACATTTTAAAAAAAGGTCTGGTTTGTATAAGGTTGCAATGCACCTCCAAAATTTTAATTTATCATTAGATGTAATTTTGATGTCAATTTTTTTTTAAGAAAGTCTTAGAATCTATTTTCACTCCAAAAATGGTTCAAATTATAAGCACATGAAAATAGATGGCCCAGATAATATAGCAAGATGCTCTATTTTTGGGATTCGGTTTTTTTTTTTTTTGTTCCAAATCCTTACATCTTGATGTCAAGATGATCATTTTACGGGTTTTCCAATGTCAAAACAGCTTTTTTCGATGGATTTTTGAGGTGCACCTTAATTCTACAGTTTGCAACCTTATATAAACTTTGTCCTTAAAAAAATTAAAAATGTCCTCCTAGTTATGTCGCTTTTCTCTTTTGCTATACAAAAATATTTAAAAGGAGCATTCCAATTTAATCCAAATAATCAGCCCATTCTCAAAAATTCAATGAAAATTAATTAAACGGGCTTCATCTTTTGATTTAAGGGCACATAAAAATATATGTGCTCCCTTAGGAACATATAGTTTACTTTTGCTCCCTAGATCGGAAGACCTACTTGAGAGGATTTTTCAATATGAAATTTGGGAAACCATTTAAGGATTTCTAAATGATTATTCTCGGAAAAAAAAAAAAAGTACTTGAGGTTTTTTTTAGCACTTAGATCTCACCATCTAAAAATGAGATGGTCCCTATTCAATCTCGATTCTTTCTTCTTCTTCTTTTAAGTGCATATAGAATACAATTTGTATACCTTGTCGCACATACTACATGTATACAAGAAAAAATTATTTTTGGGGCATCCACCAACCTATTTATCAACCAGTGATGACTTTGGTTAAGTAAAAACTGGTCCCACTACTAGTGAAATTGATTGGACCGATTTTTAGAAAAAAATATTAAGAAAGTTTTATATAATAGTTTAAAGATATAAAAGGTGTTTTTTTTTATTATTATTATTTTATTTACTTAATTGAACCGGTCAAAACGACTGCTGTGACCTGCCAAAACTGGTCAAATATTGATCTCGATCGTACCCAATTTTACCAAACTAGTTTGGTTAGGCCTTGATACTATGCTTGATACATAGTCCCCTTTCTAAAGTCCATTTTAGAGATAGATTTTAGATCAAAAAGTTGGGTTGTGATTTCATGCAACAGTTGTATAGTAATATGATGCAACGGTTGTATAGTAATATGATGCAACAACCTTCAAAAATTATGTTAGGGCCATTTGTTTGATCCAAATTCTAAAATATACGCTATTTTCATTCTAATGAACAATCACAAAAAAATAAAAATTTAAAAACAGAACCTAGAAAGTATTTTTTTAACCCAATTAATATAAGTCGTCCATTTTGATAAGATGCTTAGATCTCGATTTAGAAGGATTTTTTCTTTTCCGATTTTTTTAGAAGGTTTTAGTATCATTAGATGAACAGCATTAAGAAAGAAAAAAATGATTTTGAATTTGTATAGGCTAAGATCTTGAAATTCACCAAATGAATGGTCAAGATTCATTGTTGGAGGGGACTCATTTTGACCATATCTAAAGTTCAAATTGAACTTTTTTTTTCTGAATTCTCTATCTCAGCAACCTACACTATGGTCCAGGGATTGAATTGTTGCAAGGCATGACTATCAATGATTCCAACGAAATCTGGTCTGAATTTTTACTTGAGACATGGCTCGGCGACTTTCTCGATGGATCAACATACATTTCAAAGAGGAAGCACATGTCAAAGTAAGGTCTGAATCGATCGGACGCACGAGGGTGGGGGAAGAACCGCTATGGTTACACGAATGTGCCATACGCACATCTTTTGATGAACTACAAACCATTGATGACTTGGGCCGCATCATGTCCAACAGATTCAGGGACATACATGAGTCCAGGTGCTTCCTCGGAGACATAATGCCGCTGCTTCGGAGTCTTATTTGGAAGGAATTAGAGGGCATTACGCCAGATCTTCTTCCCCGTATAAACGTAAGTAAGGTGTAGGTGGTGGTGAGGGTTCAACAAGAGTTTTCAAACAAGTACATCGATGAAACTAGTGTTCAAGATGTTCAAGAATATCGACGCCGTCTCGATTGCATTATCCAAACCTAAGCAAGATCGAGATAGAGAATGGAGAGCAAGAAGATTGCAGTGCGTGTCTTTGTGGATTTGTTGCTAACACTGAGGCATGGATGATGCCATGTAATCACAAATTCCATAGCAACTGTATCTTGAAGTGGCTGCTAGATTACAACAGATCGTGCCCGCTGTGCCGATGCTAACTACCAGATTCTGCTAACGCCATTGTTGGGTGTGAAAGAGCGGAGATTACTCCCTATTTTTTATGTTTTCATTAAGAATCATTAATACTTACTAGGTTTTCTCATTCATCTTATTTGTAGCCATACTTTGTTATGAATGAAAAATTCAAGATTGTTTGTGCTCTCCTCTTTGCTGTTCCGTTCTAATTATTTAGAAATATATAGTCCAAATTTAATGGCTTTTGTTACTTTCCATTTTCAGTTCATGTAGTACTATTTTTACTGTTGTTTAAAATTATGTCTCTTTTTTTTTTTTTAGATTAAGACAAAGCACAGGAAATTGCAGCGAGAAAGAAAGCAATAGCCCGAGCGGCAAGACTAACAACAATTTTATTTTGTGTGCTTTTTTTTTTTTTCGCCAGAAAATTACATCTGTGCACTGAAATAAATGAGAAAATATGATTGTATAAGGCCGAGGTTCTAACCAATCAAAGTAAAAAACACATTCATATAGTTTCCAAAAATGTGGTTTCAATACTGGAAATTTTTATGATAGCCTTAAAATATATTTTCATCTATAATTATAAAATTTAAAGCTTCACAAACAGTATAGATCGAGCAGATCTATGAAAACATTAAAATCTTGAAAATTGACGGCCCAAAACTGCATTACAAGATGCACTATTTTTAAAACTTGAAATCCCTTTTTTCTATCATGTCATGCATCTTGAAATCGAGATGATCAATTTGAGAATATTTGGGAATCAAAATAACTTCTTCTAGTGAAATTTTTGAGATGCACTTTAATTTGATTGTGTTAGAGCCTCGTATGTATATAAACTTTTCCCAAAATATGAAAAGCCATATTTCTTTCAAATATTATGTGCAGGTCCAGTCTCTTTGTGGTTTTTAACTGTTTCAAGTTTGCTCCTCGATCTGATCTGATGACCTGTTATTAATTTTTATTTCTTAAATTTTCTCAAATGTGAGGTTGTTACCTGTGTTTTAGGTCACTTTGAGATCTAATCAGAGGTCCTAAATATCAAGCACTCAAATAGATAAGCATTGGACCTATGTGAATGATTTTTGAATTTAAAGTGAAAACAAAACATTTTGAACTAAGTCCTTGCCATGAGAAAATATAGGGAAACACTTATTCATGCGGCTCCGTCGGTTGAGCCTGTATTGCTTCGAAAGATGCTTCTCTATTGATAAGTCCTTTTTTTTTTTTTTTGGGTAAATCTATATTGATAAGTCCTTTGGCCATGAAATTTGATTTTTTTTTTTTTTTTTTTTTTTTTTTTTTGCGTAAATCTCTATTGATAAGTCCTTTGGCCATGAAATTTGACATATAGGTAGAGGACTCAAAGAATAAATCCAATTATCTAAATTTAAGCATTTGGGGGGTATTGACAGAGATATGCCCCATCAAAATTGATTTGTTGCTTAGATGAGCTACAAATCAAAGCTTTGCATACCAAAATCGCATGCACCATAGAAATGCATTGACCATGCCATGAGTAACATCTCCACGAAATTTGATGGCAAAAATCCATATATTCTAGGAGA